GTCTTAAGATGCTCCGAGAAGGCAAGCGTGTTGCTTTTGCAATGACATCATGTAAAAAAGCTCGAGCTTTAGCAAACTAAGCTTCCGCATTGCAAAAACCGGATGGTTCACCTATTTTAACTCGTGTTTATTTTGGCCAAATGGATGGAATGCAACGACAAGAGAATTTCACTAATATTAATGCTACCTGGAGTTCTCTTGACTGCGTGATTTACACAAGTACTGTAGAAGCTGGCATCTCCTTTGAAATTCCTAATCATTTTGATGCTATTATAGGGATTGATTAGCAATATTAAAACAGGAGTACATGTCGAAGCTTTTGCACAGATGCTTTATCGAATTCGGGATTGTCCACAACGCATAATTTCTTCATATAATAGTCAGAAGTCCTTTGAAATATTTCAAAAGCCAAATCGTAGTCTTATTCGTGCTGGACTTTCTGCTTTAAGACCTATTGATTTACCGACAGCAGTAAAAGGACATCGGGAATGAGATAAAATTGCTGATTGTTATGCTCTTGATGCACCTTCAGCAGTTGAAACATATATTAAGGCTGAATATCAGAGACGCTTATCAGCTAAGTACTTTCCCGAAATTCTCTGCAGTCCTAGTACAGGAGCTTCACTTGAGATTATTTCTACAGAAGGTATCATAGCTAATAGGAAAATAGTTTCTAATATTATTAAGGTGGTTGAAGAAAATATCAAAGGCTCTGATGCAGAATTAATAGCCAATGCACCTGATATCACTCCGGATGATGCTGAAGTTCTTAAACAAATTCCCACCCACTCGTTCACTAATAATATGATATTGCAACGACACTATTTATGGAGAATATATGCTTCAGGAGATATTGGAGGTAAGAATGATAATCGGGACTGGGGCATGGATGATGCCAAATGAATTAATCTATGCAATATTAGTTTTGTAAAAAAATTTAATAGTCCTGAACCTTTACGACACTTTAGAAGACTGACATATTTCTGAAGACAAGGTTCAGATTCAATAAAAGTTTTAGAAGGGTTAAAAACTAAAGAAACTATACAGTAGGAGGAATCACATAATTCCTCAGATCCATCTTCAATTAATTTATGAAAGGCATATTTATTTAAACAGTGGAAGGCGATACAGGAACTTTTTCAAATACTAGGCTTTACTGGTATTGATGATATACGTACTCTTTTGGGTAATATTATTTCAGAAGCGTTTGCTCAATAGTGTGAAAGATTTATGGAAATCTGAAATCAATTCTTATTGCTCTTTGGATTTAAATCTCAAGCAAAAGAAACACCAGATCTTAAATCAGCTATAAAAGCAATTAATGCAATTGCTGGTAATTGGTACGGATATACTGTTAAAAGCAATAAAAAAAGAATAGGGCCTAAAGGACAACAAGTTTGGCAATATTCATATCAAATTAATCGCCGATCATATAATAGTACTGATTTTGGAGATAAAGGCGCACCAGAACTTCTACCATATAAGCTAAAAATAGATAACGATATTCAGGAACTCTTCAATTTTATAGGACAGGAAAAACAATACTTCAGCTCAGATCATTCATTATTCAGATAAGTATCTTGACTACATCAGATGGAGACGTGTTTACTTTGTAAACTCCTGCTGATTCTGTTTCAGTTTTTTTACTTTCACGTCAGGCATGGTCATAAATTTCACCATGTGTGTTACAGATTCTGGTCTTGGAATAAGTTCGCTTATTACAGATAGGGCATATTGTTTTAGGACGGGCTTTAAAATGTCTGGAGTATCCTAAAGCACTCATGCACCCTTTCCCACAAATTGAACCATCTTTCTTAATATATTGGCAGATAAAATAGCCCATATGAGGTAATTTTAATATTAATATTCTTAAAACTTCACTTTCACTTTTATTATAGGTATTCAAAAATATGTCACATACCTTTCACATTCAATGCTGGCCAAAGCTAGTCCCTTTAGGACTGCATGAGTTATATTATTATTTTTTCCTTCTTTCAACCCTCTACTATATGGCAGTATTGGATTTTAGACTTGTCCAATTAGATATTTGTATTGGACAGTTTTTGGACTGTCCAAAATTGTCCAAAACTTTAATGGATTTTGAACAGTCCAAAACTGGATTTTAGACAATTTTGGACAGTCCAAAAATCATTTTGTACAATCTAAAAACTAAATTGGGAAGTTATTTTAAGGAGGTAAATGATCATTTTTTCACTA